TAAAGTCGGGCCTTATAGGATGCGTTTCGCTCACATGGAAGTCGCTGCTGGCGCCCGCAGATCGGTTTCGTAAAAAAGCAAAGATTGGGGCCCCAAAATGTGTTCCGAAAAATGGACCCAAAACTGGCCCCCCTGTGCTCTGGAATCAAGAGACACGGCTTCACTTCGGGCCCCGTTCTGGGGTCCCAAAATTGGGTCCGGATGGGACCCACTCTGCGTAGGTGTGGACGAGCGCAGATCCGCACTGACACAGACCTGCGACGCTAAGCCTTTGCGCATCTTTGTGTAAGCGACATACGCAAAGGAAATACCAATTTGATTGAAGCCACTTATTCCAAGCGCAAGAAGCAACACAACCGGGCCTGATGTTTTCGCCCGAAACGACCCAAGATTTTGTCCCCTCTTTTGGAGCCACGTTGTCAGACAACAGAAACGTAAACTTGAAGACCGCTCCATGACTCAATTGGTGAGTGGAGCAAGCGTTGGAAAAGCTGGCCACAGCGGCCACAGTGTGCTCACCCACAGCCTTGGAAGATAAACATAAGGTTGGCAATGCGCTGTTTAATGATTCAAGACATGTGGACAATGTGCATTTCATGGACAGGAACCCACAGCGAGGAAAGCCCAGCTGCTCAAGTCGCTGCAGACGGCAACAAGGCTTAACAGATCCATAGTATCATATTTTTCCTGCCCCTTCAAGCTGAGCTTGGGGCGCAGCTTCTCTTGGCACCTACTCCATGTTGCGTGAGCGATGCGAACCCACTCCATGTTGCGCAAGAGAAGCCTTGCAACCCTTGTCCTAAAGCCCCTCCCTGCTCCTCTAAAATAGTAGTAGTCGCCCGCCTGCTCCTCTAAAGTAGCAGTAGTCGCCCGCCTGCTCCTCTAAAGTAGCAGTAGCCGCCCGCCTGCTCCCCTAAAGTAGCAGCAATCGTCCGCGTGCTCCTGTAAAGTAGAAGTACTTTTCCAGCTGCTGCTTCCACCGCTCTTCATTTTCCTTAGAGCGCTGGTGCTTGGCCGCGCCTTACACTACACAATCTCCAGCTATTAGAAATTATAGAGTCTTAACATTCTTTATATTTAAAAGTAGCGTAGCGTAAGGCAGGCCGTTCTGGTGGCTAAGCTCTGCTTAGATGCTGCTCTCTTTGCCCGCGTCGGCCCTGGAGCGTCTGCAGGGCCCAGAAGGCTTCTGGAGGCCCCTGCTGGCTTGGACCCACTTGAAGCGGACACAACGCTAGAAAGCCGTTCTCAATGACCAAACCGATAGACGTACACAAGGACAGATTCCTAATCGCTGTTCAACCAGTCATTGAGGACGGGTTTCTGCTGTAGTGTTTGCAAGTTTTCGCTCCCATACTACAGCGGGGACAAGCGTTGACATTCTCTGTTCCTAAGCCTTGAACAGACCATTGTCAACTTTACCTTCTGGTTCGGCCGAATTCTGATAAGGTGGATTTGCTGAAAACTATGGAAAAAGTCCGTGAGGACCTACAGATTGGAAGACACCAATGGCTTGCCACCAAACAGGACCTTGCAAATGGGTATTCCCCAATAGCTTGCCTTAAACCGCAAAAGTAGATTGCCCAAAATCGACCACGGGCCGAACAGAATCGTTTAGTTTGATTCGCGTTAATAAATCATTTTCGTTTTACTAACGCGAATCCAACTATACGATTTTGGTCGGCCCGTGGTCGAGTTTTGGCAATCTATTTTTGAGCTTTTGGTTTCCCGCAGCTTTTAGCGAATGCCTGCCTTCACAAAAGCTTGAAATTTCATCGTTGCTGGCATCTTCTTCTTGATGTGGTCGCACCTGTTTGAACCCTTCTGCAGTGCTTTGGGTCTCGCTGGCAAGCCGATCCGGGTACCCGACATTGGCACCTCAAACATTGGCCATATCCGGCAAGCGGGGTCAGACCCCTAACAGTTGCAGACCATCTCGGGCTTTGGAGAATCGTTGAATCACACTCAATCACATTCGCAAACCTACTACGTTTAAAGTCGGGCCTTATAGGATGCGTTTCGCTCACATGGAAGTCGCTGCTGGCGCCCGCAGATCGGTTTCGTAAAAAAGCAAAGATTGGGGCCCCAAAATGTGTTCCGAAAAATGGACCCAAAACTGGCCCCCTGTGCTCTGGAATCAAGAGACACGGCTTCATTTCGGGCCCCGTTCTGGGGTCCCAAAATTGGGTCCGGCTGGGACCCACTCTGCGTAGGTGTGGACGAGCGCAGATCCGCACTGACACAGACCTGCGACGCTAAGCCTTTGCGCATCTTTGTGTAAGCGACATACGCAAAGGAAATACCAATTTGATTGAAGCCACTTATTCCAAGCGCAAGAAGCAACAGTTGCAGACTATCTCGGGCTTTGGAGAATCGTTGAATCACACTCAATCACATTCGCAAACTTACTACGTTTAAAGTCGGGCCTTATAGGATGCGTTTTGCTCACATGGAAGTCGCTGCTGGCGCCCGCAGATCGGTTTCGTAAAAAAACAAAGATTGGGGCCCCAAAATGTGTTCCGAAAAATGGACCCAAAACTGGCCCCCTGTGCTCTGGAATCAAGAGACACGGCTTCATTTCGGGCCCCGTTCTGGGGTCCCAAATTTGGGTCCGGATGGGACCCACTCTGCGTAGGTGTGGACGAGCGCAGATCCGCACTGACACAGACCTGCGACGCTAAGCCTTTGCGCATCTTTGTGTAAGCGACATACGCAAAGGAAATACCAATTTGATTGAAGCCACTTATTCCAAGCGCAAGAAGCAACACAACCGGGCCTGGTGTTTTCGCCCGAAACGACCCAAGATTTTGTCCTCTCTTTTGGAGCCACGTTGTCAGACAACAGAAACGTAAATGACTCAAGACATGTGGACAATGTGCATTTCATGGACAGGAACCCACAGCGAGGAAAGCCCAGCTGCTCAAGTCGCTGCAGACGGCAACAAGGCTTAACAGATCCATAGTATCATATTTTTCCTGCCCCTTCAAGCTGAGCTTGGGGCGCAGCTTCTCTTGGCACCTACTCCATGTTGCGTGAGCGATGCGAACCCACTCCATGTTGCGCAAGAGAAGCCTTGCAACCCTTGTCCTAAAGCCCCTCCCTGCTCCTCTAAAATAGTAGTAGTCGCCCGCCTGCTCCTCTAAAGTAGCAGTAGTCGCCCGCCTGCTCCTCTAAAGTAGCAGTAGCCGCCCGCCTGCTCCCCTAAAGTAGCAGCAATCGTCCGCGTGCTCCTGTAAAGTAGAAGTACTTTTCCAGCTGCTGCTTCCACCGCTCTTCATTTTCCTTAGAGCGCTGGTGCTTGGCCGCGCCTTACACTACACAATCTCCAGCTATTAGAAATTATAGAGTCTTAACATTCTTTATATTTAAAAGTAGCGTAGCGTGAGGCAGGCCGTTCTGGTGGCTAAGCTCTGCTTAGATGCTGCTCTCTTTGCCCGCGTCGGCCCTGGAGCGTCTGCAGGGCCCAGAAGGCTTCTGGAGGCCCCTGCTGGCTTGGACCCACTTGAAGCGGACACAACGCTAGAAAGCCGTTCTCAATGACCAAACCGATAGACGTACACAAGGACAGATTCCTAATCGCTGTTCAACCAGTCATTGAGGACGGGTTTCTGCTGTAGTGTTTGCAAGTTTTCGCTCCCTTATTCTCTATTGTGGACCGTGGCATGTACAATCATTATGATTGCGAACAACTTTCCCATAAAAGGTAGAATATATCGAATGCCAAACATTCGAATATATCATATTTTATTTTCAATGGCAAGGTATGAGCTCGACCACATACATAATCATTCAATCTATTCTCCAGGAATAGAAGTGACCGCCTCACAGATCGCAATCGTATAAGTTCAATCCTTCCACTCCGAATAGGATCAAACAAAATTTCAAGTCGACATATATTCAATCGAATCGGAATATGTCGCCATGTATAAAAATACGCATGCACTCACACTCACGCTCACAACTTTTCCTCGTGGGTGGCATGGGGCATCAAATGGCGTCTCAGGAGAAAACATGCACTGGTGAATGCGGCACATCCCGCAACCCCCTCGAACTGGGCGGGTGGGTGGGAGTTCGAAAACTCTCACTGCTCTACCTCAGAGCACGCACTGCAACATCGCGGAAGTCAACATGTATTAAAACCGCATGATGTCTGCAGTGACATGAAACAAAGATGAAAACATGGCCGAGCGAAGATTTTAAAGAAATTCTTTAAAATCACAAAACACCTTTCCGTGAAAATAATACCTTACGCAGGCTGGCTGCGATGGTGGCTTATTTTCAATGGCAAGGTATGAGCTCGACCACATACATAATCATTCAATCTCTTCTCCAGGAATAGAAGTGACCGCCTCACAAATCGCAATCGTATAAGTTCAATCCTTCCACTCCGAATAGGATCAAACAAAATTTCAAGTCGACATATATTCATATTCAATCGAATCGGAATATGTCGCCATGTATAAAAATACGCATGCACTCACACTCACGCTCACAACTTTTCCTCGTGGGTGGCATGGGGCATCAAATGGCGTCTCAGGAGAAAACATGCACTGGTGAATGCGGCACATCCCGCAACCCCCTGAGCACCTGTGTCCCATTCACCCGAAGACTTCAAGATTCTCTTCGCTCGAGCTGAAGAAATCAATCAAGGTGCTGCAAGAAGGATTGTCACTATGGCCCCTGACAAAACTTCCGAAGACGCCCTCGTTGTCAGTGAATGCAACAACGCCTTTCCGCTCTATGAATGGACGAAAGATCTCTAAGCAAATCGCCAGGGCCAAAGCCTCCAACTCGAAGATTACAGTCTCTCTGCTGCGATCCCCACAAGTCAGCAGCTTGCGAATGTGCTCAGGCCGGACCTCGTAGCCAAACCAACTCAAAGCGGAACCCGATGAGTTAAAGACAAGACCCCCTAACCCACAAAACCCACCAGGCTCAAAAGAAGCGTCCACATAAATGTGCACATATTCATCGCGCCTGGCTCGAACCGGTCTGGGCCGGGACTATTCAAGGAATTGCTTGAGCTGCACCAAACCCAAACGCGTGAGGGGGCTGACCTCCCACTTCCTCTGCCTTGAGTGATGGGCCAATAACTTCAAGGATGCCTTGGGACGTCTGCCAAAAATCTGGCAACTGGCAAACTGCAGCCTGCCTCGTAGCTTCTCGCTTTCACTAGGGTCCAGCAGCCCTGTGGACAAAGCACGACTGATGTCATCAAGAGCTTCTTTCTTGCGCTTCGCCGTATTCTCAAGAAAGATAAGTCCCAGCTTTGCATCCTTGAGGTTGATTTGAACCCCAAGGACGACGCACATTGCATCGTAGTCAAGCTCTTTATCTTTCGAGACCTCCCACCCGAGCAACTGGAAGAACATCGCGCTTACGAAGTTGCAATGCTTGGCGCAGGCGGCGCCACTCACATTCAAGTAATCGTCGAAATACTCGCTCCAGACAAGGTACAGACTCACAGCTCCGAGCTTCCATAAGGCATAGGCAGCCCTTATGAAGCTGGTCACACTGGCAGTGGAACCGAAGGGAAGAACTCGCTGCTTGTACACCTCACCTCCACTTTCCTCAATGTTGAAAAGAATGAAGAAGCTGTCAAGCTCGAACGAGGAGTCGGAAAGCGGCAATTGCTTGTAAGCGGTACGCAGGTCCCACGCTTTGCACACTGGAGCAGAATGCTCCGGGCGCCCGCTCATGAACCATTCATTCAACCAGCACCCCAACATGCCAGCGACCACATCGATCGTGTGGACACTGACCTGCTCAACCTGGGTCACTGAAGAATTAACTTGGGACGTCAAGTAATTGTCTATGGGTCTTACCTTCGGCCCTTCATCAGTGTGGCCCTGTAGGACTCCGAACCGATGCGTGAGCGACGCATGCTCAGGAATTTGATCAAGCGGCACCGGCCCTTCAATGAAGCCACGCTCAAGTTCCTTGCGCGTGGCCTTGAGAACACCGCGATCCACCTCTGGGTCATCCGAGGCCTTTATTGTTGCAACCAGTCCATCGCGCAGCCTCTTGGCCCCAGCCCTGAGCTGGGCCTCAGACTGCTCAGCAGGTTTAAACCTCCGCGTGAAGACATTGGAACGGGGCAACTTACCGGTGAGGTCAAATCCATGAAGAATGTCATCAACCAGTGTGGTATCCTCATGTTGGATTTCGCACAGCAGGTGCCGGAACAGCTCTAAGCGCTTAGTGCTCAAGACGTCCTTACGAAACTGAGGCAGCTCGGCTTTCAGGTCTTTCTCGGCGTGCTCCAGCTGTCCAGCTAACCCCACCCATTTGCGGAGCGTGGCGGTACGCTCCTTGGCCACATTAGCCTCACCTTCGCGATGGATTTTCCGCACAGCAGAAGAAATCTCAGGCGGTAACAGTGACGACAGCTGAGATGGGTGGCCGATGTTCGCGGCCTCTGCCACAAACTGCTCCGGTGTCCGATAAACACCAATCACTGCCTTGGTGAAGCCAGCGACATTCTTCTTAGAAGATAGGGCTTTAGATCGATCGAGGATAAACCCCAAACCTTCCAAGAACTTCCTATGCCCAGTGCTCAAGTCTTGTGGACCCCTGGGCATATATGCCACAATGACATCTCTGCGTCCACGCCAGGGCATGGTCGCGTGGAGTCGTCGCCCGTCGAACCTGAAACCCTCACATGTAACCGGGATGCAGGTTCCCTTGACAGCACGGCCTCGAAACTCTCGTTCCACGTCACCGCTTGGATCTTCCATCCATAAGTCGCCTTGTTCAAAATCGGACAGGGCAGCAATGGCATTGTCAGTGGAAGCTTCATTGTTGGCGTCGCGGTGCGGTATCGCTGCTAAGTCACGGAAAAACCCAACTGTCCCAAATTCTAGCCCCGGGAAAAGTCCTCGGACATAAGTGCACATGGCTCGCACACACTCAGGGAATTGCTTGGTGACTGATCGGACTCCATGCATAGGGCCATGAACGAAGCAGCCTGCCTGAAACGACCTGGCACCTGAGTCTGCTCCCCACCTCAGGGATTCCGAAGGTAGCAAGTCCAAGAGGATACACAGGTCCTTGCGATGGACCTTGTGGCACCGATTGATTAGCTTAGCTACCGTCTCAGCGCACCCTGACCTCATTGCCTCTCGCACTTGAGGGGCCTCCCAATCAAGACCGGTTTGATTGCTAAACCCATCAACCTCACCCGGAAAAGGCCTCTTCTTTACCGCACTAGGGCCAGGGCCTAAACCACAAGGGGAGGAAGGGCCGAAGTTGGGCCGGCAAAGGAGTTTCGTGTCCTCATCATACCCCCCTGGCACCACGTGGGCGCGAAGAACACGGCTGCCGGCAGGAAACCGGGCCAATGGTGGAGAACATTGCACGGACGAGCCTGGGCTCCAGTCCGACGGCAGTTTTTGACCCGGACGCAGAAAGGATTCCGCCAAGCTTGAAGGCACCATAACTGAATGCACAGAGGCAAACTCGCTCAGCAGTGGCGGCACACGCTTCCGCGATTGCATACCTGAGAAGGCCCTGGAGGCCTGCACAACGTTTGCCGTGGCACGGATTTCTGTGGCCGGGCCAGCGCACCCCAAAGCAAGAAAGTGCTCCTTGAGCAAGCTAGCCATGAGTTTGCACAGGCCCCAAGGATATGCACCTTCAGAGACGTTGTCGAGGAGGCCACTGCGGCCCCAACCTAAATGCACATGTTTGCCCGAGCAGGTTCGCTGGAGTTCCTGAAACTTGGGCACATTATGAACCAAGAGCGTCTCTCGTCGACTCAAGCCACCGTATTCACACTGATGAAAAACAGTCTGGAAAATGTCATGCCTTTGAAGAAACCGCTTCCACGCTGGAAGAATCCAAAGATAGCTCCTCACGGGATGCGCAATTGAAAAATATTTACTGTGCTGAAGACAGAAGGAGCACATCTCAAGGGCTAAGGTGTACAATTGATTAGCCTTTGACACCCGAGTGGCATCGAGACCTCCAAGATCGCCCACGCCTTCTGGATGCAACTCACTTCGGAGAATGGCTCGAGAGCTCCCAGGCTTCGCACGGTATGCGGTCCCCCAGGGGGGGGCAAAATGAACGAATTTGACAGCCGGATCTTTCAAGATCGTCCACAAGTGAGTGGATGCATCAAGACAGGTTAGATCAAGCTTAAGAACAGAACAACATGCAAATTTGGATACCGAGGAGTCGACCCCAAATGAGTCGAAGCCCTCTTGCTTCAGAGAAGAGGAAAGCCGCCCCGTCCCACAAAAGACTTCCACTACCACCACCTCGTCTAGCGCTATGCCCTCAAGCTTTTGAAGAAGGGCCTCACCTGCCGAGGATCTGTCGCCAGCGGCGGAAGTCAGGCATGGGGCCGACGTCACCGGCCGTCAAGATGTGTGGTTTTGCATGCTATGGGGCTTCAGGCAACCTGGCTCCGCACACAAGTGCAACCCCTTCGCGCATTTACCGCCCGGCTTAGCATCCTGACACCCACACGGGAGATTGAACCCCCAGCACAAACGATGACCTTTGGGCGTCTGGTGTACCTTGCCGATAAGCTCCTTGGGCACGGAGAAGTTAGTGCGCTTTGAAGGCTTCTTGGGCTGACGTGGATTTGGAGTGAACGGCCTTTTCGGCGGTGGCGGCGTGCCGGTGCTGGGATCCGCCTTCGGGGGACCTGAGTGATTGCCGGCATGCAATGGCAACAGATGGTATGCCACACTCGGATCAAGCAATATGTTCGGAAGGAGCAGATCGAGGGGCAGATTCCCAGAGCTGGACCGACGAAGAGTGGTCACGGTCTCGGCCATTTTGAGCCATGCGGCTCGGTCTGCACGGCCGATCTGTGCCACTGTCACCTTTGCGTAGTCTGGTGGAGGCGACTCGCGAAGTCGCTGAAGCAGCGATTGGTGATACTTGTTTGCTACCTCGTAAGACACAATGCCTACGAGGTCCATGGCCAATGCTCTACGGCGGAGGGCAAGCACTAAGTCCAGATCGCTGCTAATGGCACAATTAGTGGTCTGGACCTTTTCTTTCACAGCCACTCCACTGCCATCGATGACCAACTCCTTTTGGCTCTTCTTAGAGCTGATCTCAGCACGCCTGGTTCCGAACTTCTCCGGCGCCAGCCAAACAAGCTCATTCTTCTGGGCCATAGCAAACACAAGATCGTAGGCCGAGTGAGCGACCTCCTCATCCCCCTGAAATGTCAGACCGCCCAATCTGGCCTTCTGATTAGCAAGGCGGTCCTCCCTTTCGGCCACATCTAAGGAAGCTGGGAGGTTTTCATCTGTCCGCTCAACTCGCTGCTTAAGAGCTGAGACGATCATGGTATGAGCCTCGAAGAGGAGACGCTTGAGCCCAGCTAAAGCTCCTGCACTGGCCCCAGCGGGAAGCAGAGCAACAACAGCATCGTCTTCCGGAACCTTTCCAGGAGGAACCAGCACAAATGCGAGCTTGGACAGAGTGTCCACTTTCTTACCGACCAAGTGGTCGACTTCTGACTGTTCCAGCCCGACTTCGAGCGCCCTCTTCACGAATGCAGGCTTTGATTCCGTGAACGAAGTCGCAACTGGAACACTCGCCATGGCACTACCCCGGCTTACCTGCACACTCGAGTCAAAACTAAGCTCCAAAGAAGAATCTTCAAGGCGCTCTGCTGCATGACACACAACCTTAGCACGGTCAAGAGCAGACTTTATTTAAGCGCGCTGGTGTCCATTCAAAAACCGCTCAAGTTGCACCTCGCAACCCAAGACTCGCAGCAGCAGCCGGAACCTCCCGGCTACCCCGCTCCATTTAAAAACCGTCGCCCAGCTGCACCTTGCAACTGGATCCATGCCGGCCGGCTGGAACAGCCGCCCGACTCTCACCGCGGCGCCACCTCGCGCCGTGACATAGACATAGCAGGACTCTGACCGTTTAGCCAGAGCTCGTTTGCTTCACGCTATGCAACCTCGCGCCGTGACATAGAAATGGCAGTGCTCTGACCGTTTGGCCAGAGCTCGTTTGTTCCACGCTACGCAACCTCGCGCCGTGGCATAGAAACTTTCAGCGATTGAGGCTTTTAGCCAACGCCGCGTTTAAGGCACCCACATCCCTCAAAGGCCGGCTCTTCTTGCAGTTAGAACACAGCCTAGTTTCGGCAAAGGCGCTCTGCGTGATCTTCGAGTAGTCTTGCGTGCGCTTTCGACCACAAGTGAAGACCTCCCCGCTAGACCCGACCGCGACCGAATGGATTGTCATGGTCCGATCGTTCCTCCAATAGGTCAAGTCAGGCTCTCCCAACGGGGAGCTCTCGACACAACTGCTGACACTTGAAAGCATCGACCCAGTCTGCACCCGCGGGTGCCTCGGAGTCCTCGGAGTCACTGGATGACGAAGACGACGAACTATCCTCGGCTCCCGTGGCATCCGCCGCGGGCTCCCCCACTGGGTTGAAAATGTCCTCAAGCACAGATCCTGCTGCCTCCTCAGGGGTTTCGGCGACTGCGCGATAGTGATCTTCCTCATTCCCTGAGGCCTCAAAAGCACTGCGATTATCACCCTGATCAAGAAAAGGATTTTCAACGGCCTGCCAAGACTTATCACTGCTGGGTTCTCCGCACAATCCGTCGACCTTCGGAGCCGGCTCTGCTTCCGGGTGCGGCTTGAACAAGCCAGATCGGGTGGCGTCCGGCAGGAACAAGCTGCGCCTGATGGCTCGGAGCATGCCTTCATATTCGCGCAACGGTGCTGCGAGCTTGTCTCGCATGTATGCATACATAGCTGAACCCTTCAAAGCATGATGCCCTAAAAGCACCTGGGCAGGCTCACTGATTCCGAACTTCCCACACCAATCAAGAGTCGTAGCTTTAAGCGAATGGCCAGTCACACCATCACTGCACTTGTTGCCCTTGCTGAGCAAAGATCTAAGCCAACCGCCAGCCTCATCCGTGGTCACCGAACGCTTGCCCCACCCTCCTCCTTCCAAGGGAGCTGGCAAAAGCGGCCCATCCTTGTCAGAGTCAAGCGGTAGACCTGCCGATGCGGCAATGGCCACGAACTTGGGTCCCCACGGTTCCGACCGGACCCCACACACCGGAGCCACGAGCGGCATTGACATGCCCTGCACACTTGCCTGATGGGAAGTCTTGTGATCTCTAGTTGCACACTCAAGATATCCATAGATCTCCGTCCCCTCCATGACAGTGTCAATGAAGAAATGAAGCACTCTCTTGATGTCACTTATGCGGCTTCGGCTGTAAGCACAAAACAAGAAAGCTCCACAAGCGTAGCGATCTTGAATGTCCAACTCCGTGTCGTCCAAGCAGCACTCCAAATAATCTACTTGCTCAACCGTCAGTACTAGAGCGGGCACCCTTTCAGGCTTCTGAGTTTGCATTAGCCCTCGCAACCCCACAGACCAGGGGCTGAAGAGTTTGCTGGGATCACCTGCACAACCGATGCCAACAACATGTATGGCGAAACGGACGGCCTCAGTGAAAGAATCAATAGTGCCGGCCTTGACCTTGCAATTTCTCAAGTGCCTGATATACTCATCCGCCGTTTCGGTCGTAAAAGGGAATGGAGAAGAGAAAGGGCGGTGCTCTTGCAAGTACTTTACATACCGGAGCAGCGACGAAGCTCGCTTCTTCACGGTTGCCTCTTTCTTTCTGCCGAAAAGCTCGCGCAGAGCCTGCATTCCCTCAACGGGACCCAGCCCTGCTAAGGAAGCTCCAACCAGCGACACAGAGGAATCAAGGGTCAGCATGAAATGCCATTTCTCAAGAGACCGTTGCCAAGCTGCTGCCTCTAATTCCGCATCTGAGGCCTGATTTTTGAAGTTTACACACCCCAAGAAACAAGGCCTCCCGAAAGCAGCAACTTTGACCTTCTTGACTGCACGAGCCTCTTCCTCAATAGGAGCATCTGCAGAAGAAGGAACAGGGAATTCAATTTTTGAAGGTCCTGACGGCAAAACCTGATCAAGAGCGTCTCTTCCAAAAATCAAATCCAACCCTGGCATCTCCCACGGCAACTTAAGAACCTGCGGCTCGCTGCAAGAAAAGATGGCATCGCGAATAGCATCTCCCATCTTTGTAAGGTCAAGTTCCGAAGCTGAGCCCACACCCCTTGCACCAGACGAAGCAGAGGAACCCGGCCGGTGCTCACTCATTGTGAGGGTCAAGAAAAACTCTCCCTGGCGTCCATCCGCCAGTGGCTACGGGCCACTGGCTTGCACAGCCCTATTGTGGACCGTGGCATGTACAATCATTATGATTGCGAACAACTTTCCCATAAAAGGTAGAATATATCGAATGCCAAACATTCGAATATATCATATTATAAATAATCAAATATTCAAATCAAGCAGAGGCAAAACAGGTCTTCGTTTTCCGCACTGGGGGATGCCGCGATCCCTGGAGTCACCCCCTTCTTGAAAGGAGAGTGGCCCAGGTCGGACGCGACCTGTACCTGCAAAGCCTCTGCACCTCAGTGAATGAAAGCCGAGATGGACCATCGGCTATGTTCGATGCAGTGGGTACGCGGCCGTACCACACGTTCACACGCGCTTGAGATTCAAGGTGAAGGATGCCTCGCACCCAATCATCAGCGACACTCGAGGTATCTGCAAAGCAACGGATGCAAGAGTAGCGCGCTCCCTCGTTATCAAGATAACACACAAGTTGTGCTCCCTGGATAAGACCCTTCCACAGTTCATATGCAATCAAGATTGGAGCAATCTCAAGCTCGAAGATTGGGTTCTTCGAAAAGGACAGGAGTTGTTTCATGAGCTCGTCTGGGACCGACTCGCCGAAGTAGCCAGCACAGCTGCCATTCGGGGCAAAGAGGACACCTCCGATGCCACCCCAAGATTTCTCAGCCTCACAAGCTCCGTCCGTGAAGAGAATCCAAGTTGCCCGGAGGCACGGCTGAACCCTCAAGGGCTCAGCAGACTTAGTTCGCTCGATCAAGAATTGCAATGCAGACCTGTGTAGAGCATTCAAGGGAACGGCCGAGTTCTTGTGTTTGCAAGCCCTCGACAAAGTCCTGACAGCTTGGTTGCTCACTCTTCCGAAGCTGTAGCCTTCGAAGAAAACCATGCGCCCCTTCAGCCTCTCGAAAGGCCTAGGCTCCATCTCACCCCGTTCAAGAACTTCGTTGAGTGCAGTGCATAGCTCGTCGCGCCGTTTGTCGGTGTGGCCGACAAGAATCACACGATCCTCTGTATTTGAAAGGTCCACTTGCAAACCGAGAGTTGCAAAGGAGGTTGCATGGTCAATTGCTTTCTTACCTGACCTGTCGAAGCGAACCCCTAACAGATCAAACAAGCACTCGATGACCCAAGCAGTGTTGTCCTTCAAGATGTTCCTGCAGACATTCGTAAAATCGTCAAAATACGCAGTCCACACTATCTTTGCAAGAACAACCCCTATCTTCCAGATGGCGAACGATACATGCAGAAAAGCACTCACTGACGCTACAGATCCAAAAGGCAGCGCGTTCAGACCAAGGAGAAGTGGCTCTTCCTCCCCTGGTTTATTGACTGCCAGTCTCACCAAGGCGCGATCAACTGGGTGCACACCGTACTGCTTGTACGCGGACTTAAGATCATAATTTCTCCCAACCCAGCCTGACAAGCCTGAGGCAGGAGTCCTCTCAAGCGCACAAGACAGAATCGCAGCAAGCTTGTCAATAGTATGTAGCTCGAACCTTTCGCAAAGCCCAACCGTCAAGTTGAGGCACGAGATTGTACAGTCATCAATCAAGCGAACCTTACCGTTTTGGACAATACCAAAGCGCATGACAATGCTACAAAGAGAGATCTCGGTCGAAACCCATACCCAACCTAAGTCTATTTCCTTCTGCGTTTCTTGCCACACTGATGCCTCAAGCTCTGAGTCCTGGCGCCGTGCAAGCTTAGACACCACGGTCTTGTTCAATCCAGGGGCAAGCAATTTGAGGGTGTCCACTGACATCCTTGGTGCTCTGACCTTAGGTCCGGAGTTGCCGGTGGCCGGCATCCAGCCGGATATACGAAAGCCAGATACAACATCCCTGAAAAGGTGCTCATCGCTACATCCGGCCGCCTGCATCGAGAAGACGTTTGCCTTGCAAAACCTGCGCAAGGTAGCCAGGCATGGCGGAATGAAGCTTATCCTCCTCAGGTTGGAGCTCCTTAGCTCTCGCACTCCACTTCTTGACAAAGTCGATTCGGGCACGGGCTAAGTCACCAGGATTCCCAACAAAGTTCGCATGAATCGCTTCATCTATTTCGGGTTCAAGATGGAACTCGAAGCTCCTGGGGTGCCCCGTGATCAAGGCCCTTCGAATGAACTCGGACGGTTCACACGGAATGCCAATCGTCACAAGCTCCACCTGAGTGCCGTTTGCTACGACCTGACCAGTCCTCGGATCTGGGACTTCAAGGAAAATCGGGTGCTCGCACAGTTCAAGTGAATGCAAGACTTCCCCCCATCCGAAAACAAAGCGACGAACTACGCGAGAACCCTTAGGCTGCTTGGCCAAAAAGTCCAGCAAGAGCTGCGGCTTACTCGGAGGGCAAAAGCACGACAGAAAATGCGAAAATTCCGCGACCAAAGGCCCGAAGGAGGCCCCACGCGGCTGAAGACCCAAAGCCACGCGAGTGCTTTTGCTATGGAAAGGCACAGATTGCTGCGGCGACGGACCTGCCAAGGAGACCTGGATGTGATTTGCCAAAGCTGAAAGCAGCCTCAGACAAAAGACAGAAGGATACTCAGATTCGTCAGCAGTCATGAATTTGACTTTACGTCCGAACAAACGTGGCTGCCATGGCTTATGGGGGTGCGAGTTGTCGCAACGAGCCTCAAGCGAACTGAAGACATCCTTGGACGACCACAAGCGGATCAAGCGAGGGCGTGCACCCCCATGACAACACAAGTGAAAACGGGTGAAGAACCCCGGACACACCGAAGTGATGGACTGAAAGAAAGAAGTAGCCCAATACAGGGAAGAGTCAGGATTCTCGACAACAGTCAAAACATCCTGCCCTACGGAAGCCAAGACCAACCGAGCTGTCTCAAAGTAGAGCTGATTGGCATCCTCGACTCGTTTGCGATCCTGAGGAGAAAGCCCAGGGAGCATGTCAGGATGCGTGGAGCTCCGTAGCTCAACAGGCAGTTGATAGCCTTGCTCCTCCCACTTCTTGATATGTTTGCCTCGAGAGACACTGGCTGTGCCCGAGGGCAGAGACAAGAAGACCATGGCTAGTTTGCCTTTCTCAGCAGAAATTATTTCAAGAAGATAGTCAATGTTGGCTGGATCACACAGGTCAAGGTCAAGGCGCAAGACTTGCTTACCAGGCGACCGGAACTGATTATTATCGACCGATAAAGTTCGAAATCCAAGTGAATCAGCCGTTCGTGAAAGAACCGCGTGACCTGCACACAGCTCCAAGATCAAGAAGTCCTCAGCGGTAGAACGATCATGTGCCGAGGACGCTGGTTGAGCGCGAATGTCCTTCAAAGGGCCACTGCTCGGGCCTGCAAAGTGTCGGAAAACAAATCCCAGCTCAGACAAAGAAGACCTGTCGCCACGGCTGAGCCTTTCAGCAAAAGACGGCATGTATGCAACCAAAACTACCCTGCGACCAAGCCAAGGCAGAACTGCGTGATGCACTGATGGGTCAATGCGAAGTGGCCCTGCATTAACATCAAGCAACTTCCCAAAGTAGGACTTGCCACTGTGTTTAATCTCATGCTGCCCTGCCTCATCCCTGATCCAGATCTAGCCTTGCTCAAAGAAAGTGAGCGGGATGACAAGATTCCTCGATCCCTTTTCGTTGGCTTTGTCAAGATGAATCTCCGAGCGAACATCGGAAAGAATCTGAAAGGCCCCGAACACATGGGTGGGGTCGACGAATCGAATCACCGAGGTAAAGAATCGGCAGGTGGCCGACGCCGACGTGCATGCGTTGAAGACGCTGGCCTTGCCACCTCGGACATAGAACCCAAAACTTACGCGCGTCCCTGCAACGGAGCTGTCCTGCACACTTCGCAGAGATCGGTCCTTAGGGCAAGCATCGAACAGGCGGATGCAGTTGCTGGCAGTAAAGGCGTTTGCATGGAGCATGGTGCGAGCCATCTGTTCGTGGGTATCGGCAGATGCTGGATCTGCGACCTCAGAAGGAGGAAGACTGGCAGCACTCACAACCGGCAAACCCGAAGGACCTACACCCGAAGGGGGTTGGGGTTCCCGTGGATCGGCATCCACCGGGACAGAATTAGGGTCAACCACACTATCAGCACCTAAACCGAAAGTAGACACGGCCACTCCAGTGCCACGGCCTACCTGATTGTCAGCTCGCGATGCCATACAAGCATCCGGGCTCTCAGAATCGACATTTGTCTTCAAGAATTGGCTGAAGTTGCGCTTCATAGCCAACCTCGAACGAAGGAATTCTTTGTCGGCACAATTCCCGACCTGAACATGCATGCTCGAAGGGCCAGCCGCCCCCGAGCCAGAAGTCCGCTCCACGGACCCGGAGCATCTTTGCCAACCCCATCAACGGATGTTCCATCGGAAGGGGCGGAAGCTTGCTCAGGGTGAAAACTTTCTGCCACTTCCCCTCCTAGTCACTCGGTTTTCAAGGTCCTGCAATTGACAACTGAATGACCCGGCTTGCGGCATGCTGCGCACACGTGGAGGCCTTTGTCACACTTCTGAAAGCCTGACTTCGGATCCTTCTCAGTCTTGTTAGAGCAGCCATCGGGAAGATTGAAACCCCAGCACGCGTTGCCAAACTTGGTCGTGGTATCATATGCTGCCAAGGCGGCCGGCTTGTTCTTCGGGCCTCCTCGCGCTTTCGCCTTAGCCTTAGCCTTCTCAGTCGCAACGCGTGGCACCTTGGGAGGCACAGACGGTTTGTCATCCTCCGTCACCTTTGTTGGCGCAACCCTCACGACCTGCGACTTCTGCATAGGAAGCAAGAACTGAGTGATGCGCTGATCGAAGGCTAAACGGGACATGACTGCATCAAGAGGTGGAACACCTGACGGCCCTGGCTTGAAGGATTGAAGGCCCTCCTGTGACATGAGCAGGAACATCTCCTTGTCTGCCCTGACACACTGCGTCAAAGTAACTGGTGCGAAATTCGGAGGAGGGACCTGTGACAAGCAGTCCAGGAGCCTCTGGATCCACTTCTGATGAACATTGTAAGAAAGCATTCTGCACTGATCATAAGCAAGACCCCTTCGCATCCAAGCCCACTGACAACGCAAAGAATCCGTAGTATCGCACTCCACGGAGACACCGGGACCTCCAACCTTGACAGTGCTGTTCTCGACTTGAAGGGTGCTCGGCTTTTCCTTGAAACCTGCGATCCCCTCTTGCTCACGCTTTGGGCATTTAGAAGGTGCAAGCCAGTAAACCACTGCATTCTCCATCTGATGATTGCAAGCATCAATCAACTGATAAGACGGGTCAAGCTCTCCGTCCATGTCTATGCCTCCCAGCCTAGACTGCTGAGATTCCTTACGTGCCCGCTTCTCTGGCAGCGGAAGCTTTCTCATCGGTGCACCATCTGATGAATCATGCGACACCATGTCCCTATAAGTCTGAATAACCAAAGTAGACGCCTCAAAGTGAAGCTGCCTGATACTGGACAACTCACCTACAGTCGGCTCGCCAGTCGCATACACAAGTTTCGCAAGCTCTCTAAAGGCATCCTCGGTCGGTGGGCTTTGAGGGGTTCCAAGAGCGAAGGCAAGCGAGCGGAAAGATTTGACGCCTTGAGTGGACAGCCCCGCAGTGAGTGAGCCATCACCACGAACCTCTAGGCACCTCTTTTCGAAGGCTGCTTCACTCTCGATGATAGTGGACATCGAGAGCAGCCCTGACTCCCAATGACGCAAGGTCGCTGCACGCCCTAACTCAAGCCACCACCTCAAACACTCGAGCCCCAACAAGTTCACGACGATCAGACATGTGACTGTTTCGCACTAACATGTACTGCATGCAAAGACTCTCTCAGACATGCAAAACAACATGACAGCAAGCGCAACTCTACAATCTTTCACCTCACTTCCTCGTGTCGTTGTCAGCAAACCTAGCGCACAATCTGCACCGGGAGCAGGCCTGAGAAGGCCTATCATTGAGCCTTGCATGCAAGGCCCCAATGCTCCTGCCACACACAAACACCTTGGAATAATGATCATGGGCCAAGTGCAAAACTTTGGACTTTGTATGCTCATAGTAGCACATGCCGTCAGGAGGATCAGGAACGACCCAGCGCGCGAAAGACCTGGGAAGTTCGGCACCATCCTGACTCTCTGAATCCGAACTACTGCTGGAGCCTGTGGTTACTGCATCTGACGGTGGTTCCTCAGCGGTGTCGGCGAATGTCCGCCGCGGAGACTCCCTAAGCAGAGTCGGGACCTCAGGGGCCGATCCGTCGTCGTCGTCCTCGTCCTTGACTTCTATCAAGACAGGAGTGCTTCCTTTAACAAATCTCCCACTTCTAGTGCAATCAGGCTTGAAGCGACCACTCCGAATAGCTCGCAACACCTTGTTCAGCAACAAGAGTGTGGGAGCAGCGGCATCTCTCCCGTATGTAAGTGGCATCTTAAAATCACCAGTGTGATATCCCAACAAGAGCAACTCATTCGGACTTGCCCCGAACTTGGTCGCAAAGCTAATGCAAGTGCACTTGCAAGAATGGCTCGACACGCGCCTGTCCGGAATCGGGTCCGCGCTCCCGAAAAGCAACAGCCTAGCCCAAGACCCCGCCTCGTCGGACTCAAGACTCCGAACAGTGGGGAATCCTTGGTGATCTGGTGCCGGCATCACAGGGAAAGGCGGCGGCTCACCAATTCCCAGCAATCTTCTTGTTTCCATAAATTGTTCTATCCACAAGTCTTCGGTAACACCCACACCAGGTGCCACCATGGGCAAAAGCTGCCCCCGCATGAGTTTGGCACCCATTGTCTTGTGGACTCCCACACCGGCCTCTATGAAAGCCGCCTCGCCATTCTCTCCACGATCCACAGTAATGGACTCTGCGTGGGACAAGTCCTCCCAGCGAGCCCTGCCGTAAGTTGCGAAAAGGAGGGCGCCGGCCATCAGCCTGTTCCACAGCTCAGAATCATTAGCGAGAATATAGTGAAGCTTGGTCAGCTCGGCCACTGTAAAGGGAGAGGCCTGGACCCGAGCCCTGAAATCTCGCTGCTTCGCGCTGCCGTGGCAGCGCTTGCTCTCACCCAGCTCAGCAAGTTCCGGAATCCCAACCACAAATCTCGTGAACGTGATGGCTTCAAGAACTGCCTTCCGAGCAGAAGCAGGCCTGCCTGCCTCCCGCATACCACACAGGTACTGGTAAAAGATCTCCTCCGATCCAGGGAAACCCAACCCTCGGTCACTCAAGAAGTTGTTGTAACCCAGCAGAGACCTGTACCGCTTGCGTAAAGTAGCGGGCGCCTTGCCACCAAGTAAATCTTCATTCATGAAATATCTAGGCAAATGCCCCAGGTCCAAAAGTTGCCGAACCACGGCCAGCTTGGCGGGCCAAGACTCAATGAGCCCCTGCCAGAGGTAAAGAGCCTCTGACCGCTCCTTGTCCCTCTTGGCCTTCCAGCTTACCGCTTCACGGTCTTTAACTGCACTCAAATAAGTAAAACTTCCGCCAGATTTATCTGCCGAACCAGAAGTCTTGGCAGCCTTCAAGCGCGAAGAATCACTTTCGAAAAGCACGGCCTCCGGTCTCTTATACACAGAACCATGCATTCCATGATACAAATCCTTTGGCGATCCAAAAATGTCCGCCCAAATCCCCTTCTCCCAGCACTGCTCCAGACCTGCAGTGGGTAAAGACTGATGTGCAAAAGCCACGGCAGCTGGAACATTGAATACACGATCACCAGAAGAAGACCCCGGCATGCCAGAGTCCTGCGAGGGCACATGCCTCGGAGTCTCCTCTGCTGTCAAAGAACCAGGAGGGAGATCGCTACCCTTGTCAGACAGATTCGCCTTTGAGTACCATTGTACCTCCTCGAAGTCACTGGGGTCAAAACTCGCACTCAGAGCAGGAGACCTGTCTTGCAAGAAATCACGACTGTAATTCTCAACGGAGTCGCCGCAAGCCAGATTATCAAGGTGAGCTTGAAACTCTTCGACGGAGCTCTCACCAACTGGCCTGGATTCTCCCCTTTCATCACTTGACAGTTGGTCACTCATCGCTTACTGCTGAGCGCAAAATGAACCAGCACGAAGAGACCAACATGTTTTAATGAAACGCAGATGATCATCTCGGCAGAGAAAAGCCCAAACCAAGCGCACAGCAGCAAGCTCGGCACTTCGGAACAAGCCAGACAGAGCCTGGCCGGCCATAGCTGGACCCACCTCTACACGACAAAAACTACAAGCAATCTGTTATTGCTTTCCCACCCACCCTCCGCTTCGAGGCGAGCGAGGGATATAAAAGATCACAACTGTCCAATAGCAAACTATTGCAACAAGTGATGTTGAAAAAGGTTTGGGCAATGTCCCAAAATCAAAAACGTGATGGGAAAGACATGTCACTAATTTTCCAAAGGAAAATTTCCACAAAAAGAATAAAGTGATCATCCCTCCGGGAGGATGTACATACTACAGCGGGGACAAGCGTTGACATTCTCTGTTCCTAAGCCTTGAACAGACCATTGTCAACTTTACCTTCCAGTTCGGCCGAATTCTGATAAGGTGGATTTGCTGAAAACTATGGAAAAAGTCCGTGAGGACCTACAGATTGGAAGACACCAATGGCTTGCCACCAAACAGGACCTTGCAAATGGGTATTCCCCAATAGCTTGCCTTAAACCGCAAAAGTAGATTGCCCAAAATCGACCACGGGCCGAACAGAATCGTTTAGTTTGATTCGCGTTAATTAATCATTTTCGTTTTACTAACGCGAATCCAACTATACGATTTTGGTCGGCCCGTGGTCGAGTTTTGGCAATCTATTTTTGAGCTTTTGGTTTCCCGCAGCTTTTAGCGAATGCCTGCCTTCACAAAAGCTTGAAATTTCATCGTTGCTGGCATCTTCTTCTTGATGTGGTCGCACCTGTTTGAACCCTTCTGCAGTGCTTTGGGTCTCGCTGGCAAGCCGATCCGGGTACCCGACATTGGCACCTCAAACATTGGCCATATCCGGCAAGCGGGGTCAGACCCCTAACAGTTGCAGACCATCTCGGGCTTTGGAGAATCGTTGAATCACACTCAATCACATTCGCAAACTTACTACGTTTAAAGTCGGGCCTTATAGGATGCGTTTCGCTCACATGGAAGTCGCTGCTGGCGCCCGCGGATCGGTTTCGTAAAAAAGCAAAGATTGGGGCCCCAAAATGTGTTCCGAAAAATGGACCCAAAACTGGCCCCTGTGCTCTGGAATCAAGAGACACGGCTTCATTTCGGGCCCCGTTCTGGGGTCCCAAAATTGGGTCCGGATGGGACCCACTCTGCGTAGGTGTGGACGAGCGCAGATCCGCACTGACACAGACCTGCGACGCTAAGCCTTTGCGCATCTTTGTGTAAGCGACATACGCAAAGGAAATACCAATTTGATTGAAGCCACTTATTCCAAGCGCAAGAAGCAACAGTTGCAGACTATCTCGGGCTTTGGAGAATCGTTGAATCACACTCAATCACATTCGCAAACTTACTACGTTTAAAGTCGGGCCTTATAGGATGCGTTTCGCTCACATGGAAGTCGCTGCTGGCGCCCGCAGATCGGTTTCGTAAAAAAGCAAAGATTGGGGCCCAAAAATGTGTTCCGAAAAATGGACCCAAAACTGGCCCCCTGTGCTCTGGAATCAAGAGACACGGCTTCATTTCGGGCCCCGTTCTGGGGTCCCAAAATTGGGTCCGGATGGGACCCACTCTGCGTAGGTGTGGACGAGCGCAGATCCGCACTGACACAGACCTGCGACGCTAAGACTTTGCGCATCTTTGTGTAAGCGACATACTCAAAGGAAATACCAATTTGATTGAAGCCACTTATTCCAAGCGCAAGAAGCAACACAACCGGGCCTGGTGTTTTCGCCCGAAACGACCCAAGATTTTGTCCCCTCTTTTGGAGCCACGTTGTCAGACAACAGAAACGTAAAGTTGAAGACCGCTCCATGACTCAATTGGTGAGTGGAGCAAGCGTTGGAAAAGCTGGCCACAGTGTGCTCACCCACAGCCTTGGAAGATAAACATAAGGTTGGCAATGCGCTGTTTAATGATTCAAGACATGTGGACAATGTGCATTTCATGGACAGGAACCCACAGCGAGGAAAGCCCAGCTGCTCAAGTCGCTGCAGACGGCAACAAGGCATAACAGATCCATAGTATCATATTTTCCTGCCCCTTCAAGCTGAGCTTGGGGCGCAGCTTCTCTTGGCACCTACTCCATGTTGCGTGAGCGATGCGAACCCACTCCATGTTGCGCAAGAGAAGCCTTGCAACCCTTGTCCTAAAGCCCCTCCCTGCTCCTCTAAAATAGTAGTAGTCGCCCGCCTGCTCCTCTAAAGTAGCAGTAGTCGCCCGCCTGCTCCTCTAAAGTAGCAGTAGCCGCCCGCCTGCTCCCCTGAAGTAGCAGCAATCGTCCGCGTGCTCCTGTAAAGTAGAAGTACTTTTCCAGCTGCTGCTTCCACCGCTCTTCATTTTCCTTAGAGCGCTGGTGCTTGGCCGCGCCTTACACTACACAATCTCCAGCTATTAGAAATTATAGAGTCTTAACATTCTTTATATTTAAAAGTAGCGTAGCGTAAGGCAGGCCGTTCTGGTGGCTAAGCTCTGCTTAGATGCTGCTCTCTTTGCCCGCGTCGGCCCTGGAGCGTCTGCAGGGCCCAGAAGGCTTCTGGAGGCCCCTGCTGGCTTGGACCCACTTGAAGCGGACACAACGCTAGAAAGCCGTTCTCAATGACCAAACCGATAGACGTACACAAGGACAGATTCCTAATCGCTGTTCAACCAGTCATTGAGGACGGGTTTCTGCTGTAGTGTTTGCAAGTTTTCGCTCCCATACTACAGCGGGGACAAGCGTTGACATTCTCTGTTCCTAAGCCTTGAACAGACCATTGTCAACTTTACCTTCTAGTTCGGCCGAATTCTGATAAGGTGGATTTGCTGAAAACTATGGAAAAAGTCCGTGAGGACCTACAGATTGGAAGACACCAATGGCTTGCCACCAAACAGGACCTTGCAAATGGGTATTCCCCAATAGCTTGCCTTAAAACCGCAAAAGTAGATTGCCCAAAATCGACCACGGGCCGAACAGAATCGTTTAGTTTGATTCGCGTTAATAAATCATTTTCGTTTTACTAACGCGAATCCAACTATACGATTTTGGTCGGCCCGTGGTCGAATTTTGGCAATCTATTTTTGAGCTTTTGGTTTCCCGCAGCTTTTAGCGAATGCCTGCCTTCACAAAAGCTTGAAATTTCATCGTTGCTGGCATCTTCTTCTTGGTGTGGTCGCACCTGTTTGAACCCTTCTGCAGTGCTTTGGGTCTCGCTGGCAAGCCGATCCGGGTACCCGACATTGGCACCTCAAACATTGGCCATATCCGGCAAGCGGGGTCAGACCCCTAACAGCCCTAACAGTTGCAGACCATCTCGGGCTTTGGAGAATCGTTGAATCACACTCAATCACATTCGCAAACTTACTACGTTTAAAGTCGGGCCTTATAGGATGCGTTTCGCTCACATGGAAGTCGCTGCTGGCGCCCGCAGATCGGTTTCGTAAAAAAGCAAAGATTGGGGCCCCAAAATGTGTTCCGAAAAATGGACCCAAAACTGGCCCCCTGTGCTCTGGAATCAAGAGACACGGCTTCATTTCGGGCCCCGTTCTGGGGTCCCAAAATTGGGTCCGGCTGGGACCCACTCTGTGTAGGTGTGGACGAGCGCAGATCCGCACTGACACAGACCTGCGACGCTAAGCCTTTGCGCATCTTTGTGTAAGCGACATACGCAAAGGAAATACCAATTTGATTGAAGCCACTTATTCCAAGCGCAAGAAGCAACAGTTGCAGACCATCTCGGGCTTTGGAGAATCGTTGAATCACACTCATCAATCACATTCGCAAACTTACTACGTTTAAAGTCGGGCCTTATAGGATGCGTTTCGCTCACATGGAAGTCGCTGCTGGCGCCCGCGGATCGGTTTCGTAAAAAAGCAAAGATTGGGGCCCCAAAATGTGTTCCGAAAAATGGACCCAAAACTGGCCCCTGTGCTCTGGAATCAAGAGACACGGCTTCATTTCGGGCCCCGTTCTGGGGTCCCAAAATTGGGTCCGGATGGGACCCACTCTGCGTAGGTGTGGACGAGCGCAGATCCGCACTGACACAGACCGCTAAGCCTTTGCGCATCTTTGTATAAGCGACATACGCAAAGGAAATACCAATTTGATTGAAGCCACTTATTCCAAGCGCAAGAAGC